ATTTATTTTTTAATCTCTTATTCAGAGAGTTTTTGATAAATTTCTTTCTGAATTTCTTTCTCTATTTCAGATATAAAAAGTGTTTTTTTCATTTTTTAACTTTTATTTATAGTTCTTGTATATTTGATTTAACAAGCTTTAATAGAAATCTTTCTGATTTTATTACTAGTTCAGTAATTTGACTAGATTTCTCAAGAGAATCTAGTAAACTGAGATCAGTTTTTAAGATAAACTAATAAAATCTTTAAAAATACTTTTTGAGATATAGAAAATATGCAAAACTAATAATTTTAATTCTGATTAAGTCAGAAAAAAAATACTGATTTTTGATAAAAAAAACTAGTAAAAAACACTAGAAAAAAAATATAATTTTTTATAGGAAAATTGTTAAAAACTAATTAATTCTATTTATATTAAAGAAATTTTCTTCACATAACTAGTGTGCAGCTTAACTTTTTAAAATAGATGTAGATTTAATATCTAAATTTTTTTTTATTAAAGAAAAAATTAAATTTAAATAAGTTTTTCTTGACTTTTTGAAGAAAAATCAGAAAAAAACTAACATTATAAGAGAAATCTGCAGATCTCACTAAAACATCATCTCTACTAGAGCTTAATTAGATTTAATTAAAACTTTAATTGATTTTAGCTAAGTTTTAACTTGTTAAAGAATTAATTAAAGTGCAACTCTATGAGATATCTTATAAGTATTCAATTAATTCTAACTTATCTCTATTTTTAACTATATTCAACTGGTTCAAATCTTTAATTTATAGTCTACAGAAATTAGATGTAGAGATCTTAAATTATATACTCTTTACTATTCATAAATATCTTTTCTACTATGTTTAGACAAACTATGATAAGAGTAGTATGAGAAGATACTAGATATAGTGAAAAAAAATCAAAATTAACAGAGTTTTCAAAAAGCTTAGATATATTTTTTCTTAATAATGATTTAATAAATACTTTTAAAATTTATTTAAATTGTTTTAATCTAATCAATCTCTTAGTCAATCAATTTTTATACTCTTTATATCAAATGTGATAGATTGATGATGAAAATTATTAATAAATATTATAAAAATTAAAAGATTAATTAATTTTAGTATAAGTTTTAAATAAAAGTATTCTTGAATTAAAATTTTATAAATTGATTAAGTTTTAAAAAAAATATATTATTTAGCTATTATTGTTTTTTATCAAGAAAAACTAAAGTCAATTTTAAAGTATTTATATATATTAAAAAAAGCTTAAGATTTTAATTCAATTTAAGATATAATATAATTTTAGATTTTAATATTTTAGTTGATGATGTTATAGATAAATTCAATCAAATTAAATTTATTTTTCTAATTAATATCTATAATGAAAAATCTTTACAGAAAAACAATAATAGATGAACAATGAATAGAGTTCTTCTTAACTTATCAATAAATAAAAAGTTAATCATAAGTAGAAATTTCAACACTTATCATTTATAGTGAATTAATAATTACATTTAGTCTATAAAAGCAGATAAATTAATATATCAACTAATTTTAAAAGAATTTAATTTAAATAATAAATCTAATAGAGAAATATACTTTTAATAAAATTTATTAGAAAAGTTAATCATAAAATCTAATCTTTTTATCTAAAGAACTATATGAGAAAAGAATATAAAATTAATTTATTAATTCAAAAAAAAATATTAAAAATCAGATCATAAAGTTATTTAATTTAATATATAATTAGATAATAATATTATAGTTAATATAATTTATCATTTAATTTATTGAATTATCTAGCCAATTTGTCTTTTATCACTCAAAATATTTCAGATTAAATTAAGTAATAATTATATATAGAAAGTAATAAATTATATTAAAAATTATTTTCTGTATGCTGAGAGTATGTATAAGCAGTATGTTCAATAGTCTCATATACACTACACTGTGATACTGTGTGTTTTTATGATTAAATGTTAATAACTTCAATCATCTCTTCTTTTCATTTATTAATTCTTTATACATGATTCAAACTTTTTTCAACTCTCAAAGTAATTTTTTAAACTACATATATATAGTCTGTTTCTCACTTTCTCTTTTATTTTGCATTTACAGCTTTTAGTTTCTTGATTTTCTGCTTCAAAAATGCTATTCTATGTATAATTATTTGATATTTCTTGACAAGCTGGCTTAGAGTCTGATAAGTAGAACTGAATTGTAAAGGATTAAGCTCTAAGAACTAGAGACTAGTCCTTCTATATAACATGAACAAATTGCTTGAGAAAAAGAAGAAAAGAATGAGATGAAAACTTAAACTTAAGTGAGCTCACATAGCATAATCACATGCACATGTGCAAATGGTGATTAGGCTGAGTCAGCTAGCTAGAGTAAATCTAGAGGTTCAATCTCTTATAGTACTCCTCTTCTCTCTTTTTTTTGTGGGTTTTTACAACTATTTAAAGCTCTCTTTATATATAATTTTGCCTGCTGAGAGGCCTCTCAAGTGTTCAACATCTTCACTTCTTGTAGAAGACTCATGTCATTTCATGTAGACTTAGCTGGATCTACTCATTTAATAAAATATTGCTTTTTTCTCTGATAGATTCATTCACTCTGAATTTTCTCAATCTCAAACTTAAATCCTTCTGAGATCTTTATAGCAGATAACTGTCAGTCAGTTTGCCTCTGAGTAGGTAGAGAATCTGTCACCACAGCATGTAGAAGCTTTATATTAAAGACATTGTGAATATTAGATAAGACATTCAGTCAGTAAGTATAAGATTCTATCTTTTTAGCACAGTATATTGATTGTATTTTACATCTAGCTTCTTGCACAAATAATTTGTTCTCATGTTCTCTAAGCTCAACCAGACCTTATCTTCAGATTGAAAGCTTGAAGCTGAGTCTCTTCATCTATTCATGTATTTCTTTTGAGATTACTGAGTATTTATCATTTTTACTTGAGCTCACTACAACACTTTATAAGTCTTTCTCATATAATCATCTGCAAACTTAATGAGATTATGTAGTGTTTCAATGAGAGGTG